CTTTCATATGGTCGAGCTTCTTGATTCTGGCCAATTTGATTTCTTTTATTGTTTTCGTTTCCAAATTACACCTGAAGACCCCCCTATAGGACGAAACCAGTAATAGCTCCTTCCTTTGGATGTTTATAAGACCTATATCGTACTGATCGAAGGCATCTTCATGTAATATCGGAAAACGCTTGAGTCAAGGCTGATCCCAAATGTTTTAGTCCAATGATTCCAACTATCAGAGTCAATATTCAAAACCCATACGTGGATCAAATCAGTGCACACAGACCAAAATGATAACCGCCCATCCATGTCTAACAGATGCATCTTGCTATGCTGACGTCTTGAGAAACATTGGTTGCCTGGATAAGGCAATGTGCTGAATTCTTCAGTGTCCATGTTGAATACCATGATCGAGTTTTGACAAGATGGGATATCAATTTCATTTTCATAGCAATACTTCACCATCCAATGAAGGGTTTTATCGAGTTGAGAGCAGTAAAACCTCATCTTGCTTCTGCGATGAACGAGTTATCAATAGTATTGATCCTAGTCGCACATGCTCCCATCAGTTGGCCTTGTGAGTTAAGCACCCCAACTCCTACTCCTGCTATCTTCTCAGACCTATTCAATGCAGCATCAAAATTCACCTTCTAACTTCCACCGTTGGGTGGTTGCCATCAAGGAGGCTCTTGTTTCAGTTCCCTCTCTCCTAAGCTTGGTTGTATTCATGGATGTAGTGTCTGATGAAATTTGCATTATGACTTGCTGTGCCTATATCCTCTCCATGCAAAGTTTTGTTTCTACTAGTCCAGGTTGGCCAGCATCTCACGGTTAGTTGCTGTAGTTGTTCAATTGTTAGCTGTAATATCTTTCTTTTCAGTCATATCTGTTCTTCATCTAGTTCATCCCATTGAGTATCCCAAGGAAAATTTAGACACTGCCATACCTCTTCCACCACTTCGCAAATTTTGAGGGCGTGACATAGTGTTTTTCTTTCTCCATCTTTCACAAACCTCCTCAGCTTGGATTCCCCGTTGTGCCTGTGCAACCATGGTTGGTAACATGTCATGACATGCTCTCCATAGGAACACTTTGATTTTGTTTGGAACACGTGCTGTCCATAATTTCTTCCAAAGCTCTTGTTTCTGCTCCCGCATGCGTGCCCAGACTTGATGCTCTTCGTGACTTAACATTCTATACTCGTTTTTCATTGAGAGTGCGAATAGTTCAGGGAATCCACAAATTTTCCCTGAAAATTTTGATTATAGATATTTGATTCTTCACGTCAATCCAATTACAAGAAAAAATGTCAAATTTTTAATAGTACTCAAAATCTTAGAATTAAAAACTCGCATTTTCTTGTAATATTTTAAAATTTTAAGGGAAAAAATTACTTTAGTTCTAAATTTGATCTAAATAAAAAATTATGACGTAATTGTTATCTTTTTTAAAAGTATATCTAAAAATGATTGAAACTCAGTTGTAGATTTTTATTAATTTAAATTTTTTTATATTGTAATTAAACCGTTTAGCGTTTAAGGCATTTGTAATTAAAAAAATTTTATTTTCAAATTTTATATTGCAATTGTAATTAAAATATTTTATAAAAGGATCATTTAACGTGTTTTTATACAAAAATGTTTTAAATAATTTTTTTATATAAAAAAATATTTAAGGTATTTTTGAACAAAAATACCTTAAATAATCATTTAAAAAATTTTATAAAAATATCATTTAAGATATTTCTAAATAAAAATGCTTTAAATGATCATTTTATAAACAAATAAAAGGATCAATTAAGGCATGCAAAGTGTCAAATGCCTTAATTGATCTTGTTTTAACAATTTTTGTTATCAATTAAGGAGTGAAACACTTCAATTGATAATATTTTATAAATAAAAACAACAATCAATTAAAATATTTATTTATTTTGTTGCTAAAAGTATTATTTATCGTTTAGGCATTTATTATTAATAAAATAAAACAAAAAATTACTATCATATATATTAAAAAAATTATGATATTTATACAAAAATTAATATACATGAATTTTTTCAAATTAAATTAATAAATTTAAATATGAGATGTCTTGAAAATATAAAAAATTTCAAATATTACGCATTCTTGAAGATTATATATTTTTTTTTAAAATTTAAGATTTTATGAATTAAACACCCTTTAAATATTCTCTTTTGTTATTATAGTGTCACACAAGGACATCTTAAAAAAGGAAGAAATTAATTAAGAACAAAAGAAATAAAGAACAAGGAAGGAGAGGCACTTGCAAAGAAGAAAATAAGATCAAGAGATGAAGAAGAAAGACCTATTACGAGAGTGGAGTTAGGACTCTTAATTGATTGGCCGGACCGCTTGTGTTTTTGTTGGTGGAGGAATAAGAGCTATTTGCATATGGGAGTAGCTGTAAATAGCTAGGGTACATATAAAGATTGGATTTTTAATTTTACTTGATTTAATATATTAATGAGTTTTGATCCACTTGATATAGGCCCATATCAGTAGGACATATTAAAAAAAAACACTCACAAGAAAAATATGAGTAAGATCCTTGGATTGGACCTCGATTTTTTTACGGGCTCAAAATCCATCAAATATGATTAATATTTTACTTGGATTTTTTAATATAATTTTATTATTTTAGCTTTTATGGTACTGAAGTATTGTTGTTTCTAAATTAATTTAAAAAATTTTATTTACCTACTAATTGTAATATATCTATTAATAGATCATTACAACTAATATATGTAAAAAATTTGAAATTATAAATTATGTAAATTCAATCATTTAATCATATCATATTATTAACGAACTTTATCAATAAACAATTTTCACTAATATATCTAACTTAAAAATGTCATGTTAATTCATGATTTTCATTCCGGAAGAGGTTTGAATCGTGGAGACTCAACACATGTTTTAGAATAATCAAATTCGTCCCTCCATTTTAACCACAATTTTCTTAGTGGATTCAAATGCAAAACATTCTGGAATAATCGTCCTACATGATACTCAAAACAGCAATTTCTCATTTCTTAGTAAATTTAACTTTCATGAATAATAAATTCTCGGCATTTGTCCAATGATAAGAGTAAAATATTTTTCTGGAGTAACACTATTATTAACCATGATTAAAATACATATTCTAAAGCCTAAGAAAGTTGCATGGCTTACAGCAATTCATCATCCCGTGAACTCAAAATAAATTAAGTACGATGAACACATTTCTTTGTACCATAAAAGCAGAATTCAAACAATTCAAAGTTTGATTAACACTTTTTTTTTTTTTTTGGTTTCAATTTTCAAACATAGCTAGAAAAAAAGGCTGTTGTCGTTGGTAATTACAAGTATTATTGTATTTGATTCTGTTGTATACTTCAGTTGTTGTTGTTGTATTCTCATCTCCTTTGTCTTTGATTTCTCTCACTCAAGTTTTATGTGTTCTTTGTGCATATAATAAGTATTAAGTTTCCTTCTTCATTTTACTTCATGTTTTTTTTTTTTTAATTATTATCATTTTATATCAATTATTAATTAAAATATATTTCTATTTTAAACAAGATTTGTTAGATTTGGCCAATTCAACAATGAAACTGGGGGTTTCTAATTTAAAATCGTTATTATCTCAATCTTCCACTAGCCAATGACTTAAAAGTGGTTAGAGAGATTCAAGTTTGTTATTCAAATACTAGAAAATATCCTATATCTCTATTTCAATATTCTTTTCATCCTCGTTTCAAGGAATTTAAAATTAAATGCTTCATGTCATTAAACAAAAAAATCAAAGACTTAATGCCAATTGTTCTAAAGCCAAATGGCTCCATCCTACATTTGAGTCAAAATATTTGCATATGAATTAAACACTCAATTCTGCTCAGCTTGGCAATTATTTTGGATTTTGTTTTCACTAGATTGCTCAAGATTTTAATCAAACTCCTATTATCTCTCTTTCAGTTCAACTCTTGCAGATATTTTGCATTCACTTTCTCTATCACTTCATTGATTGCATTTGCTCACTTAAAGGTTAATACGAGAGGCTTTCTTTTTCATTTCTGTTACTAAAATCTCAAAAAATGTAATTTCTTTTCTCATAGTCAACTTTTTATGGTGATGAACTATGTCTGCTAGCTCTTTCTGAATGGGAAATGAAAATGAACTTTGTCTGCTGCTTTAATTTCAATTTCTCTTGTGCTTCTGTTGGCAAGTTTTGCATTTCATTTTCACAAGTTTTTTTTGAATTTTGACAAAGAGTCCTATCACAGTAGGAGTATGCATTATGGCTCAAGCAATGAGAAAAACGATATTCAATAATTAGAGGCAACTACTCAATTCAAATATACTATTTTAAAAAAAAAGTGTTATCATTTTCCTTGATTCTCATATCTCCAATATTTTTGAATTTCAAATATTCTGCCCTGCTGAATATTTCATCATTGTCCTGAATGCTCTTTTCATGGCTATGGAGATGGTGATTCCCTGGAAACAACCATACACTAAATTAGTAGACATATGAATAGATGATCATTTGAGACAAACTGGAAAAAAAAATGTCAGAAGTAAATACTACTAGTAAAACTTACTGAACTTCGTTGTTTGAAGGTTGCCATGATTTTTTATCTTGTTTCAATGACTGAAACTACCAGACACAGAGTTGAAGTTACCAGGCACAGGAAGTAAGCCGTGAAGTCCAAGCTCAATATGCAGAGGCGTTGCCCCAGAATAATTCTCCGGCCGGCTTATTCCCTTGTCATTTTAGTAATTACATCCACTTCATAAACTAATCTTCATTTCTTCCTTCTTAAATGGTTTTTTTTTTTTTTTAAATATTTTTCTCAGCTAAATGTACTTACTCCATCTTAACTTGATGGCAGGGTATTTGTGGCTATTTAACAGTGAAGTTGAGCATGCTGACAAAACAAACTAAAGACAGTATTATGTTGGATTCATATGAAGAATACAAGAAATCGATTTCGGGTATTGAAGCAACTTCAAGATTGCTACTTCCTTTAAACTCATCAGCATTAAATTTAGCAAGGTCACTGAGTTCATTTCTAAATGGAACTGAACTACCATTTGTTGCTATTCAAACAAAGGTACATGTCAAATTAAGTTAGAAGTTTGTTTTTTTTTTAGTAACAATCTGAACATGAAGGTAAATGCATAAGCGAAATGACTTGAAAATTTTATCAGTGTTTTTGTTCTATTTCAGATTGCACCAACATTGTTTGTTGCCCTTTCAACGATTCCACATCTAGCACAGATTTCCTACACTGGATTGAATGGCTTAATGTTTTCATATTATAATGATAAGGACCAAAAGGTAGCTATATTTTCCAACACTTCCTTTTCTTTAAACTGGTATAGTATGCCAGTGAACCGTGATACTGGGATGTTATATGGAGAGGCAGTTGCTTCAAAAGCTATGGTCAGAATAAATGCAAGCTTGTTTCAGGAAGCCTTGAATCGGACGAATGGGTACTCTTCACTAGGCAAAGGATGGAATGGGGCTCAAGAAAGCCTATTTTTTACCACTGTTGCTATGGATGGAAGGGGTGTTATATCTGTTGGATTTCCAGCTGAAGTGGTTGTTGATCATTTTGCAGCATTAGATTTTAATGGCGGGTATTTTCACTTGGCTACAGCTGACGGGGATGTGATTGTGCAAACAAGGCTTCCAAATACTGAGATAATAGTAAAAAATAGCACAGTTTCTGTTCATTCATTGAAACTTGATGGTGGCCAGATACGTAGTCTAGGTAACTTTTCATGTGTGTCTGCTAATGGGAAATTAGGATCCTTTAATGGTAGAATCATGGGAGTGAAGTACACATTTTATTGCTCCACCATTGGGATTGCTGGAGTTCAAACAGTAAGTCACTCTGCATCAATGGAAGATCTTTTTTTAATTTCGAAATAATAATTGAGCTAATCAACACATACAACATGATTTTCAGGTATATGTGTTAGCTTATCCCAGGCATAGATTGATAAGCCTCATCCAAAAGAACAGCAAGCTATCGTTAATGCTTCTTGTGCTCATGTTTATATCCATAGTTATAGCGCTTGGCATCTTCATTTTCTTTTCTATTAGAGCTGCCAGAAGAGAAATGTTCTTATGTGCTGCTTTTGTAAAGCAAATGAATGCAACTCAACAAGCAGAGAGAAAAAGCATGTTCAAAACTCAAACCTATTTGAGGGCAAACCATGATATTCGATCGTCCTTGGCAGCAATCACAACTTTGCTAGAACTTTGTCATGATGATGCCAATCCTCACTCTGAGTTAGCTGCAAATTTGGCTCAGATAAAGACTTGCACAAAGGATCTCCTAGGTGAGTTTGATACCTCCTTTTGTCGCTATCTGTTACTTTCCATTGCTGTCCAAACAAATAATCTAGGAAGTAGGAACTCCTAAATACATTTCTTTGTGCTTGTTTTCATAAAATCATTCAGGCATATTAAATTCAGTTCTGAAGATGAGTAAAATTGAAGCTGGGAAAATGGATCTTGAAGAAGAAGAATTCAACTTGGCTCAACTCCTCGAGGATGTTGTGGATATGTTCTATCCTTTAGGTATAAAAAAAGGAGTAGATGTTGTGCTTGATCCATGTGATGGTTCCATTTGTAAATTACCTATGGTGAGAGGTGATAGAGTCAAGCTCAAACAAATTTTGTGTAACTTACTCAGCAATGCTATCAAGTATACATCAGAAGGTCATGTCTCAGTTCGGGCAGGGGTCAAGAAAAGAAGCTTTGAAAAACAAATTATTGCTTCTAATGGTAATGTAGTGTTGAAGTGCCTATCACAGATGCTCTGCAAGAAAGAAGACTTTGAGGATGTAAATGCCCTTCATAGAGCTGAACAAAATCTCAACAAAATGGAGTTTGAATTCGAGGTCGACGATACAGGCAAGGGAATTCCTAAAGACAAGCAAGCATCTATTTATGAAGAATTCTTTCAGGTTAAGGAAACAGCTCTTGGTGAAGGTCGAGGTCTTGAAGAAGAAGGTTGTGGTCTGGGACTTGGCATTGTCCAATCTATTGTAAGTGGATTTAGTGTCCAAAACACTTGAAACCTGTTATTATAAAAGTTACTCATTCTTTAATATTCAGTAATAACAAGAGTAACCACATACAGGCTAGCCAAGGTTTATGATTTTGTTAGATTATGTTATTGTTGTCAGATCGAAGAGGACTTGAAAGATTTGTTGCTTTTATTTGCAGGTGCGCCTGATGGATGGAGAAATAGGAATTGTAGAGAAAGAGGCTGGTGAAAGAGGCACTTGTTTCAGGTTCCGTGTTCTGCTAACCGCATGTCAACCTGAGTCGGCTGAACCTTCAGAAGACTCTCTGAATGGATTTCATCCACATTTTTCATTCATTAGGAACGCTGGGACTAGATCAGAGGGATCGCATTCCCATGTGATTCTCTGCATAACTGGGGAGGAAAGGAAGAGAGTATTAAAGAGATACATAGAGAACTTGAACATAAAAGTGACATTAGTAAAGCAAGGGAAAAGTCTTCATCAAGAGCTTGAAAAGATAAAGAGCAAGTTGGATTTTCCTTACTGCAATCCTTCAGGAAAACCTGAGCTGAGTTTAGCTGACCACCTCGCAAAATCTGCATCAACCAATTCAGATTCAGGAGCAATTGATCCACCTTTCGTTATCAAAGAAGGAAGTGACAGTATTTTGCCACAATATACAAAGAACAACTCTAGAAGTTCTTCAACATTCACAGTTGTAGTAATTGATTCCAGTGCTGGTATTTTCTCTGAATTGTGCTTGGCTGTGGCTAACTTCAGGACAGACATTCCTGATACCTTGTGTAAGGTTGTTTGGTTAGATAATCCGGTCACGCGTACTCTACCAAGGGATGAAGAAGAGGTTAGGCTAATTCCTCCATGTGATCACCTCATATATAAACCATTCCATGGATCACGCTTAACTCAAGTGCTACATTTGCTTCCCGAACGCAAAGGAACATCTGCTTGCAACTTCCCAAAGTTAATAAACGGGACGATAGAACAGGAAGTACTCCTGCATTCCACGAACACCAATCCTTCAAATGTGCAGAACTGCTTGGGGACTGAGTCCGGGACTTCATCTCGTAACCCCTTAGAGCAGAGAGTGATACACAAAAATAATGGGACAAGAACTGAGAAGCCCTTAAATGAGAGGAAGATTCTGGTAGTTGAAGACAATAAGCTATTGCGGAAGTTGACAGTTACTAGTCTTGAAAAACTTGGAGCAAAGGTTGAAGTGTGCATAAATGGGAAGGAGGCCTTTGATGAAGTCTGCGGGATTTTAAAAGAGAAAAAGGAAGGAAACTTAAATGCTCTCCATTATGATTATATCATCATGGACTGCGAGGTACTGTTTTTTACTAACTTAAAAGAAATTCCCATTTTAAAGCAGACATTGGATTGTGAAATTGTAAGAACATGTCACTGTTTTGTTTTGTTTTGGGTTTTGGCAGATGCCGGTGATGGATGGATATGAAGCAACGAGACTGATAAGACTGGAGGAGAAACAATATAATGTTCATATTCCAGTCATTGCATTGACAGCTCATGCCATGCCTGAGGAAGCGAAGAAGACTATTGGTGCTGGAATGGATTTCCATTTGACTAAACCATTGCAAGTCGACAAGTTGCTGGAGGTTATCCACACTTTAGATAATAAATGAAAAATAAAAAAGGATATTTAAAGTTCTACAAAGTATGATCCCTTTCTTTCTTGATTTTGGTTGGAGCAATTAGCATCGAATTCATGCATTAACAGACTTTATTTGGGAGTTAATTTTCAAAGAAGTTCTTGCTGTTAATTTCATTATTTCTATCTTTTCACTATGTTTTTTTTTTTTGGGTTGTTTGATTTTCTGATATTATTTTTTAGGATAAATTTTAAAAAGTTAAGAAAATTTGCTTCCTAAGACTTAAAAATTGACATTCAACTATCCCAAAATTTTTTTTTCCTGTTATAAAAGCTTGCTTAACAGTTCGATCTTGGGAAATTTTTTCTTTTTTTTTGACTAAAAATAAATTTAATTAAAAATATGTACTAAACCTTAAATCAAAGTAAACCATAAGGGATTGATAACCCAAAAAATTGGGCAATTTTTTCTCCTTTTTTTTTTTTTTAATAAAAATAAATTTAATTAAAAACATGTACTAAACCTTAGATCAAAGTAAACCAAAGGGATTGATAACCCAAAAAATCCAACCAAGAAAGGCAGAGAGCAGATGCCATGCATAAGAGTAAAACTAAAAGCCCCCAAATAAAAATCGAGGTTGCCGTCGTAAATAAAATCAAAAATCGGAAGGGAGAGGAAAGCGATGCGATAAATTAAAGAAAGAAAAAGGGAAAAAGGAAAATTATGTCTAAGCTTGAAATGTTGTGAGAATGGCTTATTTTATTTTCTTGGGTTCATGCTTCGTTATATAACTTACATTTTTCATTCATGGATAAAAATCACAAGAACAATAAGATTGGGGCTGGCATTTTGTTCCTATTTTATTTCTAGTAAATGAATTAAAGAAAAGACTGAAGCAAGATGCAATTGACACCATTGGAATGAAGCAAGATGCAATTGAGAACTTGAATTGTTCAAATATTGGAAAAATCTACTGATCATATGACACCATTGGAACTTGAATTGTTCAAACTATTGGAAAAATCTACTGATCATAGAAAACATCTGCCTCTTTGTTCAGACAGTTAAAACCATTTTAAAACGCATCAGTCAGAAGCATGCAATTCCTTTTTCCTCTAACACGAAACTCGTACACGACTACAAATTTAAAAAAAAATGAAAAATTTTTAAGAGCACTTGTGGCGCTTTTATCTCCAAACCAAATTGTCAGCAAAATATTGCAGTGCTCTTGCCTTACAGCTCATCCTGCATGCAAAGGACAATAATTGATCAATAAACATGCAACTGATAAATTTGATTAGCAAAGTCAGACAGGACAATAACTACTTACGTGAACATCTTTCTCAGGTTCTTCCTTTATCTCAGCACTGTCTTTGCTTGCGTCTGATTTGGTGTCAGAATCAGACTCATTTCCTTCAGCATCATCAGTATCATCATCATCATCATCCTCAACCTACAAAGTCGGGTGACACAATGAAAACCAGAACAACAGCAAACAGAGCAATCATATTCTTAGGAACGCATGTTGTATGCTTACATCAGAATCAACTGGATCGTCCTTTGAATCCTGAAGATCATTTCATTAGTTAGAAAAGGAGATGTAATACGTGCAAATAAGACAGATATAAGTCGCTTCTAGTCAAGAAAATACCTCCTCCTCTTTCTTTTTCTCTGCCTCCTCAAATGCTTCCTTCTCAGCCTGAAAAAGCCAATAGCATCAGCCACATATGACAAAAAGAACCACGGAAAAAAAATTACAATTCAAAATACAGAGATACGCATACATCCTTCTGCTTGCCCCATGTTTCTTCAGCTAGTTTCTTGGCATACTCTATATCATCAGCAACTAAGATGTTATCAAACATTGTTCCAGATTTCACCTGACAAAACACAAACATTTATCTTGTTATAGTTCTAAAATGGAATGGAATGATAATAGCATAGAAGCAGAGGAAAAAGTGGCAAAAGAATACCTGCCACAATTCAATACCAACATACTTCAAGTTGGGGAAAACATAGAGATCAGGATCATCCTTGAAATCTGTGGGCCATAGAAAAACACAGGAATAAATAACCAAAAATTTTGTTGTTAACAATAAAAAGAAAAAGGCACTACAGAAAAGAGCTAGCAATAAACCTGGGTTGTCAATCATTGGTGCCTTCCACTTGCCCTTGTAATTGGGGTTCTTGATTTTCTGCAGATAGAGGAAGAATTGTTACACAGTACTAACTCAAAAATAATATTAAATGTTGATATTAGATAAGGATTTCACAAACCTTTGGCTTCCAGGGACCCTTGTACTCAGGGTTGGGAATTGTTGAGGGTGTCCATTCACCATCTTCTTCATCATCCCAATCTTCAGGCTGGTGTCAATGATTTTAATCATTAATCTTAATTTTAAACAAGGCAAACTAATTCATAATTCCAGAAAGAATTAAATGACTACCTTCTTAGCATCAGGATCAGGAATCTCTTTGGGAATGTCATCATAACCCTATAGTAATCAAAACACTACAGGTTACCTTGCCTATGCATTCTTAGGCAGTATATAAAATGTAGCATAAGAGAACAGAGGAAGGGGAAAAAATGAAAAGCTTATTACCTCTGGCTTCTTGTCTTCAGGATCAGGGATGTACTCCTTCTCATCCCAATCTTCAGGCTGCCCATCATGCAAAGTACTAATTTGTACTCAAAATCCATGTGAGAAAAAATAAACCAAAAAGAAATCAATTGAGATTGGGTATGACCGATTACCTTTTTGGCTTCAGGATCCTTAATCTTCTTCGGTGGGAGAAGATCCCAATCAGTGTACAAGCTACCAGTTTGTTTCTCAACATTATCAACAAGAATGCTGTAGGTAGCATCAGGACGGAGAATGAATGTATAAACATGAGTGAGTTGGTCAGTCTCACAAGGAACTTCCTGTTTGATCAAGTGGTTTGTCCCATTGTAGGTAAGAATAGCATGTACCTTCTTGGTACTGTAGCCACAGATATCAGGCCCAAACATGATGCTGGAACCAACCAACATAACAAAAAATAAGAAAATCTAAAACAATAATATCTATTCGAGATAGAATAGGTCAGATCGCAGGGCATAAAACAACCTGTATAGGGTTTCACCACCAAATTTCTTCTGGTCAATGTCACCACTGAGCAACTTCATGTAGCCACCACCACAGTCAAGCTTCTGCTCATGCTTGACAGAAAATTGGAAGACTAGAATCTTGTCCTTGTTGTTAACTTCTGGGAACTCAGCTGAAATAGCATAGAACCTGTAGTCTTCACTAGTTTGAATACCTGTACAAAATGCAAGGCCATTAGTAAATAACTTGAAACAGAGGAGTTAAAAGGTAGCTTTATCAAAACCAAGCTATGAGTAATTCCATAAACTTACCTTTGTCATTAGGATCTCCATTCCATTTTCCAGAAGTGTAATTCCATTCCCCAGCCATGTTCTCATCTTTCTTCCAGTCAGATTTTACCCACCGACTTTCCCATCCATCTTCAGTTTCACAACAATAGAAAAAGCAAAATCAGCCAAAAAAAAAAGTGCAATTATGCTGTTAACAGTGAAACGTAAAAAAAAAGTACAATAAAGCGAAAGCAGCTTCCTTTTCAGAAGTTCTACTTTATCAGTTAAAAAGAATACAGAATCTTAGGAATGTAACCAGGCATGGCACGCTAAATAGGTATACTTTCTGGCTTTCTGCTTGACTCTGATATTTGTCTATTCTGCTAAAAAGGACATTGCTAAAAACTAAGGCTCAGTTTGGTTTAAAAAAATATTTTTTGTTTTTATTTTCTAGAAAAATTTTTATTTTTTACTTTCTAAAAAATGTATTTTGTAAACAAAAATAAAAATTATTTTCTAAAAATGCAAAAATAAGGAAATAAATAAAATATTTAATGATATTACTATTAATGATATCTAATTATATACATTTATTAATTAATGACATTAAAAAGTGTTCGAATATGGTAACTTGCAAAACATAAGAAAAAAAAGTAATGTACATCCTTTGTTTTTTCAATTGAAAACATCTTTTTTATTTTCATATTTCAACCCATTATTATTTTCGTTTTCAATTACCAAACATGTTTTCACTCATATTTTTCATTTTTCAAGGAAATGAAAACAAAAAATTGCTCTATTTTTTAAAACCAAATACTACCTAATGTTTTCATTCCCTTAATCTTTGTTCTTACAGAAACAAACACTCGCCTCGAAATTATCAATAAAATAAACAATAAATAATAACACATTAATCATCATTCCATTTTATTATCCTCTACAGTTGTAGATAAATTGAAACTCTAGCGACTATAGCATTCACTGTCGTTTCTTATCGTAATTAAACTAAATGTGTAACACTAATTTTATTTTTAAAAATTCCAGACCAGAGATACGAAATCTGATTATCTGCAGATCTACTCGAATTAATTGCATTTTTAAACGTAAGTAAGCATTTGAGTAAAGAAACAAATAGAAAAAAACGGGATCGACAAATTAACACATAAAAATCACCGATCCGTTCAAATTAGATCAAATGTAAAGCTTAAACCTCTACAAAACAGATTCAAACGAAAAAAACAAGCCGATCTAAACGTTCAGATACAACGCACAGATTTAGTAATAGAAAGCGGAGGGAAATGAGTGACGAAGAGTTTACCTTCGAAGCGTTCTTCAAAGAAAACTTCACCGTAGGCAATGGCGACGAGAGAGATTAGGATTAGAGAGACAAAATTAGGGTTTCGTTTGAGAATTGCCATTGCTAAACTCATCGAAGGGAGAAAAAATGGAGATGCAGGCTGAGAGGGAGTGACGGGGTCCCTTATATAGTCGTTGAATTTACAGGTTTTTACCGTCCAGTTAAAAATGAAAGAATTATTCTCCATTAAATCTCACGTGGGCCAATAGGTTCGCGACATGTCATTCATGAGTGTCATGGATTGACGTGGCGAAAAACTAGTGGGAATTAATTTCACATGACACGTAGGAGAATTTTGTCCTGTTTGGCTAGGAGTTTAAAGCGTTACGTATCAGACTTTCAGTTTCGTTGGAACAGTGTTACACGAGGCAAGTATCTAGCAGTCCAATGGGCTCCACCTACATGTTAGTTTGTGGCAGTGGATTAAATATTTTCATCCAGAAACATCTAATCACATTGGAATCTTCTTCGAATATTTATTTGTGCCATTTTTATTAATCCAAAGAAATTTATCTTTGGATTAATAAAGTTCATTAGGATTATCATTCTTTTAATTCTATCGTCATTAGATTATTTTCATTCGAGAGGCAAGTCCATGAAAATAAGATAATTTTGGAGAGTGGGTTAGGGCCAGCACTTGTTTTTTCTATTTATTATCTGGTTTTTTATGCTTAGTTTGGAAGCCACTCAAAACTCATTGCATAACATGAATGTTCCGACCAAATTTATCATATGATTTTGTGCCCTTTGCATGGAACATCATCAAAAATGGCCCCAAGGGCTTGTATTTTTCTATTTTATGGACTCTGTGAATCAAATAAAACAAAGGACTGGAGAAATGAAATTTAATACAATAAAAATGAAAACAGATCAAACTTATTTATTCATACTAAAATTGGGTAAGTAACAGAAGCAAAGGCAAGCTCGATTTTCTAGTACATATTGGTACTACTACTAGTTACAGAAAAGTTCCATTTCTCATACTGCTCTACTGCTGAACATATGTACCGGAGTTAAACTCAGACAATGCAAGTAAAAAGGGTTTGAATTTAGAGCAATTTGAAAAGCAAGCCTCCATGAGTTGCAAAGAAAGGAGCAAAAACCAGTGACTCAACTGCCATGAGTTTGATCAGGATGTTGAGTGATGGACCAGAAGTGTCCTTGAGGGGATCACCAATTGTGTCACCAATCACTGCAGCTTTGTGACAATCTGAACCCTTAGGACCCAGTGCCCTGGCGTGTTCGCTAGCACCGGCCTGTGCAAATCACATTAAACTAAGCAGTGAGAATTTTAACTGAAAAATGATTATCAAAACAAGAGCTCCTTGAGCTTGAGCATCAAAAAAATATGGCTGAAATGTACCTCAATGTATTTCTTGGCATTATCCCACGCTCCTCCTGTGTTGGAAGCTGAGATGGCAACCTAAGGAAGAAATAAATAATTAAGTATGATCAGCTAAGGGGAGAGCATGATGTACATAAAACAATCTTGTGGTGAATAGGTGATCTTGACAAGTTTAGACATAAGCCTGCAACAAGATTTTTTCGAGGCAAAACAATGTTTTGCATGAGAAATCAATAAAATCCTGACAAACACTGTGAAATTATCGAAGTTGAGAGCAAATGAAAGATGATGATAGCAAAAGAAAAAAAATGATTGGCACTTGAAAGCCCAAAAAGAATGATGATACAGTTATGGAAGGACAGATGAATCGTAACTCATACCTGGACACCAGAAACAAGTGCGCCGGCCAGAACACCAGCGAGAGTTTCAACTCCAAAGAAGGTTCCGGCAATAAGTGGAGTAAGCATAACAAGAGCACCGGGTGGGATCATTTCCCTGAGTGAGGCATCAGTTGAAATCTTGACACAATTTGCATAGTCTGGTTTTGCCCTGCCTTCAATTAGTCCTGGAATTGTATTGAATTGCCGACGTACCTCTTCAACCATTTTGAGAGCCGCACTTCCCACGCTCTTCATTGTCATGGCTGAAAACCAGTAGGGGAGCATGGCTCCAATTATCAGTCCAATGAAAGCCTTTGGTGTCAATAAATCGACTGACTTGATGCCTGCTCTGCTAACATAGGCACCAAATAAAGCAAGAGAAACAAGGGCCGCTGATCCAATTGCAAAACCCTGAAATGACGAGGCAGAACATGCCAAAGTTCTTTTCAGTTTTTGAGGAAAAAGATGGGAGAAAGGGAAGGACCTAAAATGAGTTTGAAGAAAAAGATCATGGAATCAACATTAACCTCACCTTGCCAATAGCAGCAGTGGTGTTTCCTGCGGCATCCAAAGCATCTGTTCTTTCACGTATCTTGTGACTCATTCCAGCCATTTCTGCAATACCACCAGCATTGTCACTTATAGGACCGTAAGCATCGATTGCAAGACCAGTGGCTATAGTACTGAGCATTCCCAAAGCGGCCACAGCAATTCCATACATTGCAGCCAGGCTAAAGCTCACATAAATAGCAATGGCAATGGCAAATATTGGAATGATAACAGATTTGTATCCCAGAGCCAACCCAAAAATCACATTTGTTGCAGCACCTGTCCTGCAAGAATCTGCAACATCCTGCACTGGACTGCAAGTAATTGAAGAGGGTGGTAAGCATCAGAGATAGAGAATGACAGATTCTACACAGGAATGCATATCCAAAGGCATTGATGAATAGCATCTCAAAGGTCAATCCAAAATAATTTGTTTGATTCTAGTCTAATAATTACAACCCAGATGAAGTAAGAACACTTCTAAACTAACAAAGATCCTCACCTGTAAGCATTGCTAGTGTAATATTCCGTGGTATATCCAATAACAAGTCCAGCCCACAAGCCAATAGCAACACAGAAGAAAAGGTGCCTGCATTTTACATAAGCAATAAGACTTGAACAAAGAAAAGGGGTGGAAACCTTCAAATGAAGAGAAAACAGTTTACAGGTTGCATACCAATTCTTCACTTCTTTTTCAGTTCCAAAATTGAAGAGAGTGAATTCTGATGGCAATGCAAAGAAGCTGACAACGGCAATCCCAGCTGTCATCAGCACAGTAGATATAAGGAGTTGCCGTTTCAAGGATGGTTCAATTTCACTAACATTCTTAATCTCAAACAGATCAGTTGCAAAGAGTGTAGTTATCAAGCAAACCACAATTCCCATTGAGCTAATTATCAAGGGATAAGACATTGCTGTAAAGTCATGGCTGATCCCAAAGGATGATATGGATGCAACAAATAGAGCTGCACATGATGATTCAGCATAAGATCCAAATAGATCAGAACCCATCCCAGCAATATCTCCTACATTATCACCCACATTATCGGCAATAACCTGTACAAGTTCCTCAAAGTTAGGTGCGAGCAAAAATGTCAATCCGTTTAGAATATAAGTGGCATTAGAACTTGAGAACTATCTACCACTGTTCTTATGAAGAAACTTAAAATGCTAAAATAAATGAGAAATTATAGCATAAGTGAGGAGAAAGCGGTGCATAGAGGGAGTGTAGAAAGGAAAATAGACCCAGCAAAGTGGAAAAGAAACTGTGGGAACTTACAGCTGGATTTCGTGGATCATCTTCAGGGATATTTCGCTCAACTTTACCGACAAGATCAGCACCAACATCGGCTGCTTTAGTATATATTCCTCCACCAACTCTTCCAAAGAGGGCCATAGAAGAACCACCAAGACCATAACCAGTAATAGATTCATAAAGTCCCTCCCAGTCATCACCATAGTACAGTTTAAACAAATTGATAGATACATAGAGCACCAAAAGGCCATTGGCAGCAAGAAGGAAACCCATGACTGTTCCAGAGCGAAAAGCTGTTATAAATGCCTTCCCAACACCTTTCCTTGCTTCTAGAGTTGTTCTAGCGTTGGCATAAGTAGCAATCTTCATCCCTAGAAAACCTGAGAGGACAGAAGTAAAAGCCCCCAGCAAGAAAGCAACTGTGCTAAAGAAGGCATTTGCCAGGGCTGGCTTGCAAGTGTTTCCCTGGTTGTATGTGCATGGTTCACTTTTGGTGCTGAAGCCCCTAACTGAACCAAGGAAGAGGAAGATGATTGCACCAAATACACCCATGAAGATACCAAGGTACTTGTACTCGGTAAAGAGGAAAGAGGTTGCACCTGTGAACATGATTCAGATAGGTAAAAATTCAGTTACACAACATTGAAGTTGTAAGTAGAAAATAACAGACAAGATGAATGGAAATTTATTTTAAAAACTCCGTAAAGAATGATGCATAAAAACTTTACCATACTAGTGATAATAAGGTATAGGATCAGACAAACTAGATGGGCAGAAGGATCAAAAGCACAGATTTGCATAGGTGCATAACATATTTGCGCACAATATTTAGCATAAAAAATCTGCATTCTTCACAAGTTACTCTGAAGGAGAATCATGCATGTCTTTTTTCCTCTCTTTTAGTTCAAGTGTTTGTTGGCCAGTATAGCTCAATGATAGAGGACTGCTTTTAACCCTATTGTTCTAATCGTCGACCATTCAATTGGCTTAATCAGAAATCCAGAAAAATCAGTCCAAGGAAAGTTACATGCAACCCATCAGAAGATGAATTTTCAGAATCCCTAAGATAACCTACATGGAAAACTCAATTCTTCACTGGAAAAGGTAAAAAGAGAAGGAATCAGAAAAAAGAAGATGATAAAGGATGAAAGAAGGAACAAAAGAAAAATAGGCAGAATTTGTTGAAAAACTTGATCTGTCAATTATAGAGTGCCAAGAAGAAAGTCATAGCTCTACAGTAAATAGTTACAAAATTCTATTTTCCTTAATAAACATCTTCAAATCAAGAACCATGATAAGGGACAATAAGATGGAAACTAAAAACAAAATAGCTTAGCCGGTATTATATAATATAAGCATCAAAACAGCACTACGAAAACAATATAAATATTTTCTTTCTTTTAGCTGATACCATGAATCATGATCATCATCCTCTATGGTATGATATCATTGGACTTCTTAAAAATGATATTCTTCTCAAGGATTTTAGACTACAAAATTCACCATAAAGGATAACAAGTTGACGAAAATAAGAAAAAAAAAAAAAACCAAAAAGCTGAAGCACAAACATAAAAGTGAGAGAAATAGAGAAAAGAAAGCTCACCAACAGAAATGGCATGTTGAATCTCAGCACACTTGATAGAAACCTCAAGATTGTTAATACCCTCCTCTTCTTCATCATCTTCAATCAGCTTTTGTTTATACCCATTGCTTGAATCTTTTGATGAGACCTTCACCCTTGAGACCAAAAACCATTGAAGTAAAGCAAAACCAATGCCCACCAAGGCAGCTACTGGTATCAGAAGCTGGGTAAGACCCTCACTCAAGGCACTCATTTCCAGAAAATTGGCTCCCAACAACCTCACTCTGTCTCTTGGCTCGTCCTAGCAAAATATATAGCAAAAACTAATAACTGATTTTTGAAGTACAGACTCAAAAAGCTGCAGTCCTCGGAAGTAATCAATCCAAAAGTGGTCTTAAAGGCATGCCTTGCATGGCTACTGAAATATACAAACCGGTTGTTCTGAACGACAGATGGAACAAGCTTATTAGATTCTTCTAAACCATGGATTGTGTTTACCAGTTGTTTTGATCTAGCAGTTTTGAGTTTTGTCACTATCTTTATCCAATGTGCTCATTCACATTAAGTTCATGTTGTAAAGTTTTTGTTAGGCTATGGATAAAGTTGGATAAAAACCAGCGTTTACCATGTGGGGAGATAAGATCAAAATAATAATATTTACTTGATGTGTACATCAGAACAAAAACATGGATTAAAACAGCACTTAAGGAGAATTGGATCAATGGGTTTTGATGGATTCAAAGTATATTGTTACTAATTGTCCACTTGACAACAAACAGAACCAGAAAAAAGAATAAAAAAAATATTAATATCCACCATTTGAATATAGATATGTAGCTAGATAATTAAAACGGATGGCTTGATTCAATGTATAATAATTGATGTTAAACGTGGGTAACTTTCTCTCTGATTATTTTAACCCAAACCAATCTGCTGCCAACATCAGCTTGGCTGTGTCAAATTGCCAAAGTCATATTGCATTTTGAGTCATTAATTATCACTCCAATATCTAATTTAATTTGAATTTAATCTAAGTTAAATTTGAGCAAAAACCATTTGGATATTCATGTGCCAAAAATTAATCTCAAGATAGTTTCATACATTTTTTTAGTTTTGTTTAGTCTTTCAGAATCAATATTGAAAGAGGGGAAAACATGTATTTTCTGTGCAAACTTTACTTTGCTTAACCAAGAAGTTTCACACATGCCTAGCCATAAAATTCGATGATAACAATGCAAGTCTAACCCATATCAGAACACATGAAGAAGATTCACTTTGCTTGAGCTTATTCAACTTTTAGCTGTCATTCAATTCGAACTAAAACTGTAATTCTCCATCTAATTTTAGTTTTAACTCACATGACTAAAGCAAGGGGAGAAAGTCAGAATTCTTGATTTTATATTTTATTATACAAACAATTTCCTGTGATTTTAAAAGCACCATGTTGGACTTGTTTTACAATTTTAAAACCATCATTAAAAAAAAAACAAAAGTTTCACGGCATTGTTTTTCTTTTACAAGATAAGAATCGTGCTTGAAGTTCAAAAGCCTAGCCTACAGATTTGACAATTCCACAGTTCCTTTACAAAGTGAGAAAAGAAAGTACAACCAAAGAACTAGTCACATTGAAGGTCCAAGGAGGGTCAAAACCTTGAAATAGACAAGCCAACTAGCAAAATATCGAATACAATTCGAGGTGAAACAGACATACTTCACGGGAACGTAGTTTCTGGTAGAAATTTATAGATTTTAGGCAGTTCCCAACTTTTCAAGATAACCACCAAATCTTTTTGTTTAACATAGCAAGGCCAGGCAATTGGATCATCCTTCTTGCCTTATCACATATATAAGCCATATAAAATGCATAAAACAAGTGGCTCTGTTTTTCTCAGAAAAAAGTTGTTTTGTTCCTTCACGATAGGCAAATTGCTTAACAGTGCTTGCTTACAAGACAATACCATGGGCGGATTTTTTTGTCCTTGATCTTTTATTCATTTTCAAATGATTGGCCCTTACGAATACCATTTTCCATCACGCTTCTACTAGCTACCATCTATACCTGTTTAATTAGCATCTTCATCAGATAAAATGTCCTTGATTTGACACAAATATGTTCATTTGTTACATCAGTTGATATTTGAGTGAGATCATACTATTTAGTCAAAAGACATTAAAAGTTCTGATTCTTAAAAACCAACGAACTTAAGCCATGCAATTGTCTAATCAGTTGTTTGGATATCACTGTCAAATAATAATATAATGAGTGGAGGAATATATAAGACCGATAAGCCATACATTGTAAGAAGTTTCTTTACCCTTTTGATCATGTCTTTTTACAAATTTACACATTCGTTTGAATGGTTTTTTTTTCTTTATTTTTTTAATAAATCCGGACCCGGATTTGAAAAGGAAAAGAAAATAGAAGAAGCAATTACACAAATTAATAGTGTTGCCATTTATTTAAAAACATATTTAAATTCAGCCATTCGGTCGGGGACTAAGGGAGCTGAGGTGAGGAAAGGGCTGCAAAGAACAACTGATCAATCATGCTCAAAATTGAGGCATTACAGACCACAGCAAATTGGCAAACATGTTGGATCGTGGAATCCTGCAAATAGCACTACGTAGCTCATAGGAATAAATCAGCTATAACAATGTGCCACATAAGAATGATTAGAATGGTTCTTACATGCATAATGTATGAAATGCCAATTTTCCTCTTGAGAAATAATCATACCTCAAAGCACCTCATCATATTCTTGGGGATCTTCAAAAGCTAAAAGTTTCCAGAATGAATGCAGAGGATGCCCTTTAATCTGTTACGAGCTGCAGTACTTGGCTAGCCCACAAAGGCAGAGGTGCTTGAATCAGGACAGGGAAACCAGTAATTGGATGCTGAAAAGATAAGCTCTCTGCATGAAGCTCATGGGCATCATATGTTCTCCCTTTCCACTCGTAGACACCCTCATATTTCACATCGCCTCTAATAGGAATCCCAAGATATTGGCAATGCAATCGAATTTGATGAGTTCTTCCACTTCTAGGAAATGCTCTGACAAAAATCTCATCTTTCTTTGCATCAACATCTATAACAGCTTTTTCTTCAACTATAATAGTATTTTCTTCATCTTTCATAGGCTCAGATGGCTCCTTGTAGCTCCGCTTTCCATTGATTGATAATATTTCAAACGTAGTTTCCATGTCCCTAACTATGGAACCACCTGGTAGTTTTCGACCAACATCTCCTGCAGCATACACACGCCATGCTCCAAACTTTGATCGACCATGACCTGATTTGATGGTAATTCTTTCCGATTGTGGAGCTGAACCAATGCAGAAAGCAACATATGTTTTCTGAACCTTGTGATTAGTAAATGCTTTGACAAGCACAGCAGCTACTTTGTGTGACTTGGTTATAACCATGACACCACTTGTGTCACGATCAAGTCGATTAGCCAGATGGAGCTCATATGGGCTCGCTTGGTTCCCTGGAATGGAAATATATGAATGGATGTGGACATTTGATAAGAAAAATACTCAAGCAGATCAAAAGACAGCTTCATCTAAATTTTTGTCATTACACTTTCTGAAGAGGTACTAAAGAACCATCAAGAGTCCAAACTAGTCTGTGATACAATGTTATTCAACTCCACAACCACAAGCTAACTGAAAATCCATTTATGACCAAATAAAGGCCATGTAATGTTCTATTTCATATGGAAGAAATGAGAAATCTATAGATAATCCACTGTTATGGCACTATGCATATACTAAGGAAACAATATTCCTCCTAAACAGTCCAATCTGACTAGATAGTTCAACCAAGGTCACCTTTTTAGATTCTATTCAGTGTTAAAAGGACTTTGCACAAGTCAACTAAAATACGAAATCAGCTAGCAACATTGTCAAACTTAATATTTCATTTAGGTAGGCAACAATTTGCTGCTTCAAAGTCATAAAAATTAGTGTAAAAATTACGTGACAAAAAATTTGCAACAAAAGCAACTCTTTTGAATAAAATGAAGCTTTCAACAACCAAGTCCAAGTTTCTGGAAAGTACATCTTCTATTAGCTAAATTCACCAAAGAGATAAACTTTGCAATGTCAAAATTTGAATAGTTCGCTACTAAGCCTATCCAAGTCAACCCAGAAACCAATATTTCACAATTAGTCACAAGCTAAAACAACACTGAAGAAGCTAAGAAAAGGTAGACACGGACCTTCACTGAGACGATCTGAGTCGGCCGGGTCAGCAAGAATCCGAGGAACAGAGGCCAGAAGGCTATCACAATAAATCCCCTGAGGCTTGTTGACAGCAATGAGCCACTCATCGTCATATAAAATATCACTTCTTGAGAGTCCAAAAACGCTTGATTTTGAAGAAGCTGTCATGGCTCTGGCAAGCTCTATGTCTTTAGAGATTGATGGCAATGGAGGGGATAGAGGTGTTGGGTAATTTTGGAAAGAATTGGAGTTTGTAGACATTTTTGAGAATAGAAAGAGAAGGGCTTTGGTGAATTTCGACAGGGTTTTTTGACTATAAAGGAAGAAGGTTTGTTGGGGAAGGGAAAGCAAGGGCATTTGTGTCAGTTTAGACGGTTAGAGTAATTGGATCTTTCAATTTATTCAGCCTCTCTAAAGGATAACGGAGTCGTTTTGAACTCCCTTTGGCTTTCCCCGTAGCCCTAAACCCTTTTAGAACAAGAAATTGATAGTTCCTCTTAAACCCCAAAACCAAGAGGCTAAGAACCAATCCTTTGGAGTAAAAAACATTTTTTTTCCTTCTTTTTTCTTCTAAAAATGTCAGCTTTTATATTCAAGCGAGCCGGTAATGGATCCTCACTCATATCTCAATACAGTAGAACCAAAACCAGAGCTTTATGCTTCTCACAACCTCTTCACAGTTTCCTAGATTCCAATCAAAATTCCAAGGTTTTGGATTCTGGGTATTCTTCAATTTTGCTCAAGTCCCTGAAAAAGCCACGGGGGTCCTTTTGGGCTCTTCAAAATTCAAGCTTTTTGGGGTCACAAAATCAACATTCCTTTCATTTAAATCTAAAAGGCTGGATTTGGGCAGGACAATTCGGTACACAGGCTGCTATTGAACCTTGTACGTCTGATGGGCTTACTGTAGATGGGATTACTGGCAGTAAGTGGACAATACTTGAGGAGAGTGAGAGTGATTGGAGGAGTCATGCTGCTGCAACTGCTCAGTCCATTCAAGTTATCAAGAAGCGCCTTCAGGTATTAGTTTTATTGGCATTTGATAAATTCTTGTATCCAATGTGAGATAAATTTATGATTTTTTTGTTACCATTTCTGTTTTTCATTTTGGCAGTTGTAACTTAAAATTTGAACAGAGTAATGATATTAGATTAACCTTTGAGATTTGGAGTTTTGCTTTTGTGTTCTTTTCTTTAACAGCTTTTCAGTTCATTGTAAATTCATTTGGCTCTTTATGTAGGAATTTATTGATGTGTGGACAATTGATTGATGAAGTTGATTTTGTTACCATCAAGCCTAATCTTTCTGTTACATATGTATTAAGAACATGCTTGTTAAGCACTTTATTGTCTGTCGATGCAGTGGAAGAAATTGATGGTTAGGTTGGATATGTTATCAGTAGAGCTGAATAAGCCTGACCTTTGGAATGATCCTGTCCATGCTGGTAAGATAAGCCGTGAACATGGCTCACTAATGGGTAAAATAAAAGAAGTGAAGACATTTGAGCAAGAACTGCTTGAACATATAGATATGATAAAGCTTGCAAGGGAAGAGAATGACAGTGAGTTGGAATCGGTGGGCTCTTACTTCTTAGCTGGGCATGTATTCATTCTTTGTTATGATATATAGCTTATTTTTCATAGATTTGTAAATGATAAGGTAACTAATTTTTTTTTTTTTTTAGTTTCTTTAGATTAATTCTATATATCATCATTGCATATTTTGGAGTAGCTGGATTTTCTACTACACAAAATAAGGAATGTTTCTACTGTCAAAAATAACATTAAGTTAACAATAGAAATAAGAGTGATTTACTTTCATGCATAAAAGGTGATTTAGCCAGATTTGACGAAAAGATACTCTATGGGATGTGGTGGTTAAACTGTCTCTTATGGGGATATTATGCTGTTACTTAATATCTTCCTCTAAATCTATGAAAAACATGTATTTACTAGGTTTCTTTCTCTAGACACCTGGTGGCTAGTTTTTACTTTGTAAAATTTTCCCCTGCAGGAATCAATGAAAGCATTGCTAAGGATGAGAAGAGATTCAAAAGACAAGGAGCTTGAAGCTTTGTTAGCTGGAGAGCATGATTCTTGCTCTTGCTATATAGAGGTTTCATTTATATACCACTTTGTCTATGTTCAACACACTAGACTTTTATCTTTTAGCTTTATTAAGATATCTATCCTAGAAAGCAATGTGATGGCCATGCGCTTAAGTGGTTTTCTGTTCTTCTATTCCATTGTCCAAATGGATAATAAAAAACTGCTGCTTTATTTTCTGCCAATCTTAACCTTGATATTTTGGTTTATAATGTAGGTTCAAGCTGGAGCTGGAGGAACTGAGAGCATGGATTGGGCAGCAATGGTTATGCAAATGTATCAAACCTGGGCTCAACGGCGTGGCTATGGAGTAACAGTAGTGGATGAAATGCCTGGTGAGATTGCAGGCATCAAGGTTCATCTCTTACCTCTGTTTATCCTTCATTTAAGCAGCGCCTGATTGCATATCTGTTTTTATCACCTAATCCACTATAGAAGGAAACTAAGTATGCATAGCATAACCCACTTTCAACAATATCTGGGAGTTGTTATCATGCCAGTTGAGTGCTAAGCATGAAGTCCATTGAACTGTCTACTTTTAGCTTTTGATTGAGGTTCGTTTGGCCCTATTTCAAAGGATTACTTGGAAAGAGGATATAAGCTTTTGACCTTAGATTTGTCTATTCTTTCAGCGAGCAACTATCAAAGTTGATGGTGAATATGCTTTTGGATATGCCAAAGCAGAAGTAGGAGTTCATAGGTTAGTTCGTATCTCACCTTTTGACAGTGGAAAACGCCGGCATACTTCATTTGCTGCTGTTGCTGTAATTCCAATCCTAGGTGATGTATCTACACATGTACAAATTAATGAATCTGATCTTCGTATTGAACGGTTTCGTGCTGGCGGAGCTGGTGGTCAGCATGTTAACACAACTGAGAGTGCAGTGAGGATTGTCCACATTCCCACAGGAATAACTGCTACTTGTCAAAATGAAAGGTGTGAACAGTGTGCTGATTGTCAAAACCAATGCTGTTTTCCTGCTTTATTTGTGCTAATAACGGTTATTTTCTCTCTAATCCAAGCTTATAATTTACTTGGAAACACAGATCACAGCATCAGAATAAGGCCTCAGCAATGGCTGTGCTTCAGTCTCGATTAGACCAGCTTGAGATGGCTCATCAGGCACAGATGAATTCCCAGCATACACAATCTCTTACTGAGATAAGTTGGGGCAACCAGATACGTACTTACGTCCTTCATGTATATACTCTGTTGCCATGAAACTTACGCTATAATTTCTTTTTAGACAAGAAACAATTTAGGTGACACTAACTTTGGCTCGCTACTTTTGATGCAGCCTTACCGCATGGTGAAGGATCTCAGGACCAATTATGAGGTCTCTGATCCTGATTCTGTCCTAGAGGGAGATCTAGACGACTTCATCTTAAGCTACTTATCTGCTTCATTGGACAAAGATGACGATGAACAATAAGATTAGCAGCTAAATTTTTTGTTGAAACATGCAGATCAATATGTGGAGCTGCATGCCCAAATACTTCCAGCTTGTGATACGGCCATAGTATAGCTGCATGACTTGCAAGGCAGTAGGCTGCTACGGCAATCCACGTCATGCATGATTTTTGCATTTTCACCTCTGAGATACGTTATGTTAGCTGATCTGATAGAGCCATTGGCATTTGTGTATACATATTTAGTACAAGAATTAGAGGAGAATACTAACTAATGATGAAGCCATATAGCATTACTTCTTTTATCACATAATAATATATGTAGTTCAGTTTATTCTTCTAAAAATCTTTGTTTTCTGTAAATTTAAGGTAATCACATAAAAGAAACACATACTTTACTTCATGCTTGTAGGAAACAGTCGATAGGATTCGGTAGAGGATAAAACATTATATTAAATTAGGGATAGTAATGTACAGTAAATAAATGATATCCGTGATGGATTCAGAGTAAATATGGAGAGCATCCTTTGGATATTCAATATCCGAGATTATTTAAATTTTAATAAATAATAATAGATATCTGAATTTGTTATTCATTTATATATATAAAATTTATATTTGTAGAAGATTTTGAATATTAAAAAATAACTTTTGTTAATTATTAATTAAAAGTGAACTTAAATTTTAAATTAAATTTTTATTTATTTTATATTTTGACAAAAAATTCAAATAAAAAATATTTTAATAGATTTAAATATTTAAACAGATAGTATTTATTTAAACAAATTTGTATTTGGATAATAATATTAAACTTAAACAAATATTTAAATGAATTCAAATATCATAAATATTAATAGGATACAAACATTTAAAAATTAACAGATATTTGCTCCATTGCCATTTTTATAATATATTATTTATTATGAAAACAAAACCAAAACAAAACAAATCTTATGTGTAACGACGTCGTTTTTGCTGAGATGGAGTCTACCCAATGTCTTTCCATTTTTTTTTTTTTTTAGTCATGAGAAACAAATAAAGCATCGTTTATTTGTGCATTGAGAACAAAGCGACAACAAGGTACGCTAATTTCTCAAGGCGTTTCTAACTTTCTAATCTTCATCTTCTTAATTTCTTGTTTTGTTTGCTTTTCTCTTTTAACTACCTAACTCTTTCCTATAACGAAGGTTGAAGAGCTGAAAAGATTATATCTTTTCTTCTTTTTTCTTTATTTCTTATCAGGCATAGAATTGAAGGAATTAAATCTGTTAATTTTGTTTTTGGGTGCAAATTAAAAGATGGGATCATCATCAGTAATAACCCCAGAAGATGTATTGGAGTCATTGATGAATGATGGAACCATTGATGCTCTCAGGTTGAAGATTATCAATCAGCTTAAAGCCAATGTTAGTCTCTTTCTTACCTCTTTTATCTTTATCTTAATATATTACTATACAATCTGTTGAATTTTGGATCTGGGTATTTTTGTTTTGATGTAAAAGATAGTTTATTGAATGATTTTCGGGGATTATGTCATTCAAATTTGTGTTTTGTCATGAAGATTTTGCAAATTCAGTGATTTCTCTTTGTGCTTGTTTGATAGGTTTAATGTGAATTTTGTTCTTGAATTGAATGCTAGGCATACATAGATTTTAGAGTCCCCTTGTAAAGCCCATGGGTTTTTTAATTTGCTGATGATTCCCCTTTTTTTACTTAAACGATAAGATTTTGTCCTTTTTGTGGGCACTGGATATAAAGTTATATATTTAGTCTAATTTCAAATGTTGTACTTTTTTTTTTCCAACAAATATCAAGTTTTCTACTTGATGCAGTAAATGAATTTGGATTGTGGAATAATTGTACTGAATTTTGAAGTCTTGTCTACTATATTTGTTGTTCTAACTTGGCAGAAAATCATCCATCAACTTAAAATTCTAAGAACTCATATGTGAATTCAGTTCTGGGCTCTCCTCTGAAGTTGCTGATATATGTTGTGTGTGCTTTGCTGACATAATTAATATAGAACCTATATTCATTGAATTTTGAAGAGTAATGACTTATTATGTTCCCTCTGTTTCTGTATGATATCTGTACTTTTTCTTTGTTATAGGAGGAGCTGAAGAATACAACAATCAAAATGGCAGAGCAGAGTAAGGTACTTAACACCCCTGGTGCTGAGAAACAGACCAAAAGAGAATTGTTTGATGCACTTAGGCAGGAACTTGAGTGAGTGTTGTTGTTCATTGTTATTTAACAGCTAAAGTTCAATAATGCTTAGATGGTTTCATGTACTTATTTCATGTTTTGACCCTCCCAGCCTCTATGTTCTTATAATTCATAAAACTTTCTATGTCATCATGCACGATATGTTATGTACTCCTGATTGAAAGTGAAGGGGGCTTTGAATGTACGGTGGAGCTAATTTTTGTTCTTATTATTGGGCAGAACCCCAGTGCTCGAGAGGGCCTCAAAATCAGTTTGGGAGTTGATTCTGGACAGAAATGGGCTAGGAAAGGAAATAAGTGAAACAGTGGAAAGAGTCTTTTGTAAATTAAGCGGCAGGGAGCCTCCTCTGTTTCCTCATTCAGCTGATGTATGTCAACCTGAAAAAGAAGTCAAGGATGAGAAAAGAAAAGGGAAAGAGAAGGAAAATGAAAATGAAAAGGAGAATTCAAACTCTACATCAAAGAAACGAAGTTTCATTGACATGAATGCTGAGGGAAGTGCTACTGAAGTTGCTGGCAAATCTAGTGATACTCCAGCTGCGCCTGATGATGCTACTTAATCTCCCTTGCCTAGCCTGAAGATATGTTGTTATGTCAACAGAGGCCATTGTTGCAAACCTGGTGATCTTTTTGGCTGGAAAAAGGAATTTTCCCTTTAATTCGTTCCATTTGATGGAACGATACATTGTTAGGTTTGCCTAGGACAGAACATAAGTGATGTGTTTATTTGTGGTATAAACTATGGAGTTCTCATGACAATAGGTTGTATCCTCCTTATGAGGTTTATTTGCTATAGTTAATTCTTTGAATAGTTTGAGGACTGACTTCTCAAGTTGCATTTTGTATACCACCAGCCCTATTTCTTCTGGCTTGGCTTATTTACAAAGTTGATGCAAGCATACTTGCTTTCAAGTATCTTCCACTTCCTGATCTTGCACAATAGAAATCCCCTTCAGGATTTCTTGAAGCCCAAAAAGAATCTGGAGGGACCAGTTTAGGGAAAGAATTACAGCCTTTTCTGGTACGAAGACAATTTCAATTCTGAATGTGTATTATGTCAGCAGGTAATATTATTTGTTCAAAAGTTTGATGTTCAGTCCAAACGAAATTTGTTACTAGAAAGCATGAGTTCTCCATGCTCATCATCGATTAGACATTTATTTTGACGAGGATGAAGAAACCTCCAAGATGATGAAATGTATGCCAAGGTCTTACTATGATCTGCTAATTAGGGAGAAAAATATATATTTTCCAACATCAACATGCAAAATCATTTTGATTAAGAAATACGCGTTGCTCATGGTTATTTGTTATATTATGGAAAGCCAAACCAAATAATGAATGATTTCTTGTTCACACGGTTCTTTGTTTATCTTTAAAAATGGGCAGTCATGTTATCATCATTTCAGGGGTTTTCTTGGACCTTAATTTGCAGGAGTCAATTTTTTTTTTTTTTAATTCGTAATGGCAAGACGACTGATCTTACTTAGTAGTTCAATTTCGTCTCTTCACTGGCTCGGCAGTTTCCTGCTAAACTGCTTAGTTTTTTCCTTGCTTTTGTGGATTTCGAAATTGGAATTGGGGGTTGCTTGAGCATGCGGGAACTTTTCTACAAACAGAAACTTCTAACTTCAGGGAAGGTTTTTCTTCACCAACACCATTCTTAAAAACTTTACACAGTCTGTTTCTCAAATAAGTATCCATTAGAAATTAATATCAAAAGACAATCTATATGAGCCGTGAGAATTGGAGTTCAATTGAAAAGCAAAATGGATGCAAAGACCTTCCTATATCATCATATGCAGTAACAAAAGTCCAACAAACAACTTACATGAGTAGCATCTGATATGAAAAAGATAAGACGCAGTAATAAAATCTCATCCTAACAAAATTCACCATGTATTATTCTGACTTCCAAATCCAGTCATTGAATTCATGATTGAAGTTGGGAAAATATTCCATAGTTGCAGAGGAAGAAAATGAGTTATTATCAGGCAGCAAATTCATATTCATATTCTCATGAGAAACTTGAGACTGAGGCCAGCTAGCAACTTGAGGATATATTAGATTATCGACACTACTTGACAAATTGTTGCTCATAACTACAACATTATCAACCATATTTTGTCCATAGTTTGCAGTCACATTACTGATGTTGTTTGTAAGATGTCGTTCTCTGGATAAATTGTCCTCTGTCATACCATTGGAAACTTCAGTTTCCGAATTATTCGATAGCATGGTTTGAAGGTCATTTAATATTTGAAAGCTTGATTGGTGCCTTTCAGTTTCTTGAAGAGCTATTGGATGCATCTGAGAGGTTGAAAGTGTAGGTACCAGTCTCCTATGTTGATTTTTCATAACTTCTTGTACATAACTCGGTATATGGCTGTTTTGAAAAGAGATAGTTGAATTTACCTGAGGGACCAAAGCAGTAGTGAAAGACATTCCTCCAACTTGGTTTGTAATTAAACTATCTTTAACATTGTTCATTCCTTGACCTGGCATTTGATTTCTGGTGTGCTCATCTATATGTGAAAAATCCATAACTATATTAATGTGTTAGTTTGCAATTTTAACTAATGCCTATATCTAACTAAAAGATATGGATTGAAAGTAACAAAATACCTGATATAGGTGAATCTGAATCTTTAAGATTGATAGACTTTTGTGTTTTCTGCTCGAATGTTTGAAAGTATTGAGAAAGATACTGTGAAGAGACGTTTGAAAATAAAAATTGTTGTTGTTCAGGATTGACATGTTGTTGTCCACCAAAATCAAAAGAAAAATCAATCCCAAATGTATGTTTCTGAAAGTAAGGACATTCTAGAGTTGGATAACCTTGCCGACTCAACTGAAATAATCGGTTGTCGCATCTTAAAAGTTTTTCAAGAGGCTTCTCAAGGGCTCCAGGAGGAAATTCAAGATAGTGCCTCCTAAGAATACAACACAACTAATATAAATTTTATGTTGGAAATGAAAAATCAAAAACTAATGTTTAGTATACAACACAACAACTATAAAATTGTATATTGGAAATGAAAAATTAAAAACTAATGTTTAGTGCATCCATAGTATGGGGTAACCTTAAGTAGTAAATTTAGGAACATAGAAATGATGCAAACCTGAAAGTAGGAGCTTGTCCTCCAGTAAAGTCTGAAACCATTCTCCATTGAGTGTGCTTCCTTGGTTGAGGATCAATCTCATGGTGAAATGAAGGAGGCTGATTTAACTGCAAAAATGTCACCAACATACAAATCAAAACAAGTAATATGACCATCATTAAATCTTAAGTCTTATAACTTAGAAAAAATATTTTACCTCTATTTCAAGAGTTCCAGATTGATCTTCTTGTATGACAGCCTTCAAGGACAAGATATCAGACCATTGGATTTCGATCTTACTTTTCAAAGCATTTTCCAAAAATTCCCAAACCAACTTTCTTTTAGCAAAATAAAACTTTGCTACTAAGTCTCCTTCATTTCTTGATACCCTCTGGAAAAAATTTCATTATTAGCTAGATTGTTCATAATTCTTCATATTTATGTATACATCAATTCAATTGCAAAGTAAGCAGATTGATTTCACCTGCCATGAACCAATTTTAAGCAATGAAATTGGAAAGTTTTCAGCTTTCAGCTTATTTGCCTGTTGTAAAGTATCTTTTATCTTTGCTTTAGCTGTAACATAAGCAGAATTAGGACTTGCTTGATCTCTATTATAGTTTTGTTCTTGAACTAGTTGGTCTAGCTTGTTCAAGAAAGATGGTGTCTTGGAAAGCTTCAAGCCAAGATTAGGTAACATCTGCAAAGCTTGAACCAAGTCAAGCTACAATAAAGAGAAATTAACTACCTGCATTTTTAACATAATGCTTCCAGAATAGCAATTTAACAGAAAAGTTACAAATAAGAAGGAAATCATAGCGTCAAAATATATATGCACCACATAATAATTTGCAAAACAGAAAAAATTAGAGTTATTGAAATCATTTTTTGCATCTCCTATGCAAAATCCGATGCATGCTTGTGTATCAATATGCCAAATTCTGTGCTAATTTTTGGGATTAAATGTGCTAAATGTAATGAAGTAGCAACGATATGAGGAATGCTGCTACTTACCAAAAAAGCATTTATACACAAATCAAGTAATGAAAAGGAAAGCAGACCAAACAAAGATGCAAATAAAGTCAACCAAAATCACAAAAGCCCCATGCATAAAATAAACCCATAAATGAACAAACATTTCAATTATAGTTTATTAGAAGAATCAAAAGAAGTTTTTAATCATTTTCTGTCAGAACTAATCATTAACCATTATTAAAAACCTTGAATATAAGGTGCATGACATAACATTAGCCTCATGCACATAAATACAGCAATCATGAAAAAAATAATAATAAAAGAAAAACAAAATGCAGTAAATTTCTTGGGTGCAGCTTCAAAAGATAAACATGAAACGAAAGTAAAGACTCAGTAAACTCAATTTGGTTTCAGCCAAAAAAAAAAAAAAAAGCAGTTAAACACAGTGTAGCAGCCTCTGATCAATAATCCATTAAACACTAAAAATTAAAAAGAGAAAAAACCTGTGGAGTTGACTGCATCCAGCTCTGAGAAGAATCATTCATCAAAGCATACTCCTTCGTATCCTCATCCGAAACCAAAATCCCATTCTCCATTATCCTCAAACAACTCTTTACTCTTATTTTGTTCTAACAAAGACCAAGATTTTACATAAAAAAGGGTTGGTTTAATGATCTTGTCTACAACTTCATCTATATATATATATATATATAAATATATATAAATCTATACGTACAGGAGAAGAAACGAGTGTAGAAATTTATAAGTTTGACCGTGTATGAGAAGGGATTGTGAAATTAAAGCAGACAGAGGAACAAAACAGGGTACCGAAATGAAAGGAAGCAGAGAGAGGGAGAGGAAGACTGGTTTTGAGAGGATTTGGTTGAGAACTAAATGCCGTTTTTATATACAAAGGATTCCTTCTTCTACGTAAAGCTAGATATGACTTCATTGTTTATCACACCTGGGCTTCTTTTTTTTTACTTTATTAATTTCCCCTTCTTTTTCTATTTTTTTTTTACTATAGTAACTCTATTTTACTATTACTATTACTCTATTTCATCAAGGGAATTTTTTTCTTCTGTTATATTTTGAATTTAGGGTAAAAATGAAATAGCAAAAAAAAATATATATATTGAAAAAGAAAGAAAATTTGGATATAAATCAACTTCTTAGGTTGGTTAACAATTTGTTATTAGTTATGCCTCCCATAAAAAGTTTTACCTTAGACTCCTATAATTATTTCCTCTCGTATTAATTTTTTTTAAGGAAAAAAAGACATCGATTAAACGAGATCTTAATATAAATCTTTTGACCGGTTAATTCAAATTTATTTTTTCATCATTTCCCTTCATTTTTGTAGTTGGAATCAATGGAATTAAGGTTATTATCTGATATCAAGCTAGAGACAACAAGCATTAATGAAAAATTCTATTAGCAATAACTCCAAATGCCAAAGGAGGTACTGAAAAATGAGATATCTTACACCTTTTTAAGTACAATAAATTAAAAACTTATATATATATATGAGATTTTGTATATTTGCTAATAAATTTTAATTTTTCATTTTATCATAAATATTGATGCTTTAGTAATAACAACACTTCAACAAATTTTCAATGATGTAATGAATTTTGAGTTTTATTTTCAACAAAACATTATTATTTCTAAAAATAAAGAGGATATATCCAGCAATTATTTACTAATAAATGGTACATAGGTCGGATAAAAAGAGGGAAGCATTAAATATATACACTCATAAAGGAAAACCTGAGATTTGCGTACTTTTTTATTCAGATTCTGAGTTGATTTCTACCCTTTTTTCCAAGAAAAAGAGACAAATATAAAACGGCTCAATGCTAAAAATAATCAAATTTGATTGGCTCGTGCGGCCAACTTTAGAAGAAAGCAAGCAGTCCTGATGTAACATTCCACAGACGTCAGAGACTTATGATTCTTTTACTATTTTTTCTTAATTAATATTTTAGTGACTTAGAAAGGTGGTTAATTAAAATTAAAAATAATTATTAAGAACTGGATAAGGGTTTGAAACTAATCATCAAGCATCCACTATTAATCCCTTTTTTTTTCTAATTTATCTAATGACCTTAAAAACTAAAAAATATATATAATATAAAAAGAGAAATTAATCCAAAAATTCTTTTAAAATAAATGTTCTTTGTTAGATGGTTTTACATCTGCTTCTTTTGATTCATTAATATTTCATGCATAGGTGGAACAATCCCTAATTAAGCACTCCAACGTTAGGATCTGATTAGTACTTTTAATGTTAATCCTCTTTGATTTAATTTATAAAATATCTTAAAATTTTCCTACAAATAAGTTTTTATAATCATTAATTAATCATTTTGCACGTATTTGTTTGGATTTGTTAATAATATTTCACAAGTATAAATTGAACGGAAATACCTAAACATTCTCACAAACATTTATTATAATCATAGATATTAAATATTTGAGTATCACATACAGATATTCACACTTACATAACAAATTCAATTAATACCTTCAATGCTAATATCTCAAAATTTTCTTACAAAAATATTTGTAATAATTAATCGATCATTTGACACGTGCTTATTTTAATTTGTTAAGATTTTATGTCCATAAATAGAGCGAAATCCCTAAGCTTTCTTACCAATATTTTTGGTAATCATATATATTAATATACAAGTATCACATATTAGTGTTTACTCATACATAACATATGCATATATATATATGTATATATATATATATATTTATTTAAATAATTCAATCTCGCTATGTGGTTCATCTTCAACGGTTAAAAATGCCAAGTTCTGCATAAGTAATTGGTGATGGCTGATGTGGATGCAAAGATTGTGGCAACTATCAAAAAAACATATATTTAATCCAAAAGAATGAACATGTCTTTTAAATTTTTGGCAAAGTCACTTAATTTTAAAAGTTTATAGCATTAGCATATATACACAAACACACACACACACACACATATATATATATGTATATATAATTATTAACACAATCAAAGATATCAGCAAAGATTATTCATTTGATCCATTAAAGATATCATATCTAACCAATCATATATTTTTATCAAAGTTATTAACAGATAATGATGAGAATTTGGGCTTTGAATTTTCAAAGTAAGATTATTACTTTATTGCAACTAATAAAGTTGTATGCATGCTAAGGGAATGTCATGTCATCACATCAAGGGATATGAACCTAGTGATCTCAACAAATGCTTTTCTTATATTGCAAAAATGGCAAACTAGGAAGGTCATATCAAATTGTGACTTAGCTTTTTTTTTGAAAAAACAATGATTAAATAAGATTTTCCAAGTGAAATGAGAAGTGGAATGATTATTTGATGTAGAGATATCTTTCTCGCCCTTTCTATGCAACTGCAAATATGGATGATGTGATCAAATTAAAGGGGAAGACGAAGTTGACTCTTGTTACTTGGAAACTGATCAAAATGCACCAAAATGATTGCATAATTGAATGAAGGGGAATTTATGTTAGAAATCGGCAGCTAAACAAGAATTAGGCTATACTATAATCTCACTCATAAACAAACTGTCTAATCAAGAATAACAATGGAGAAGCTTTCCCAACAATTTCCAAGCAAAGAAAAGGCTTGCACAAACAACAGGGTGAGAGTAAGATCATCATATTCATCATTCACCAAAAAAGAAACTTTAAAAGGGGAGGCCACCGCCCCACCATTTTAAGGTCATTAATCATTGATTATATTGCCTTTACTATTTGGTTTATCTCAATCAAATTATGCTTTTAGAGACCAGTTTTTTTCCATTTACTTTTGTGTAATTTTTACTGATCAGCTGCAAGTTTCAATTCATTAACCTCTAATAATTATTTATCAGTTTAGAGATGAGTTTAATTAGCAAGCTTGGATTTCATCTTTATCAAAGCATTATACATGATATATTTTAAAATTAATTAACGAAAAAGTTCCTTTTCACTGGATATATATGCCAAGTGCGTAGAAATGTTGCATCATTATTCTGCTTTATGTATATTATTATATATTTATATATAATAAAGCATGTGTTATACTAGAATGGAAAGTACCCGTGCCTCCAATTGAAACCCTTTCCCAAACTTGAAAACTAGAAGCCTAGAAGAAGATTATTACTATCTCATCACTGCATGGAGATTGATCTTTTGAGTCGGCTGCTAGAAGTGGATAATGTTGGTTAGGTAGCCTGATAAACTGAAAAGGAGCTTACACATTGCTTTGCTCACTTCACACTTTGCCATGATTTTATGGGGTGTTGGGGTAGAAAAAGGAGAGAAAAAAAAGGAGGAAATCAAAAAATAAAAAAGTAGAAAAGGGTGACTCTAAATTCATGTGTCCAATCATATGATTATATGACCCTTTTTTGTGAGAATCGAGAAGCACAAATTTGATAGTGAAGTCACCCAAGTTCCTGCTGGCTTGAAAACTACTCCCACATTTCCATCCATTTCTCTCTATGGTGGAAGTATGACCAAATAGATGGTCCCTCAAAATCTCTCTTTTTTCCTTCTTATCACTTACCTCCAAAATGATGATCGTGTCACTCTTGGATTACCAAAGTGGCACTATGGTAGTTTTTGGGTATTTGATGATCATTAACATGAAAATTAAATCATCACATGCTGATTTTCCTATTGAAATAAAATTAAATATTTAAGTTAAAGCAAGCATGAAATCTTGGTGGGGTCTTTTCTTCAATTCTTAAATTGGGCTTAGTAATTTCTTCTTTCAAGGTGCATGCATTATATCTTTGGAGATCATTAATCTTAATAGATGCTTAATCTACGCATGCAACTTGTTAGTTTGTGGGGTATCTAGCGAGTTATGACTGAATCTTGCTATTGAGTTTTGACATAACTATTTAATTAATTCCTGAGGTTTGTTTAAAAGTTAGAATTAGAATCAATTAGATCTTATCTTCTGGTCATATGCATGCGGGCATTCTTGGCCATGCTTTTGTTTCATAAGTCCAAAAAAAATCAAGTTTTGTTCATTAATTTTGGTTTTGTTTTCTTTCAACATCTTAGTCTTAGGGAGTCAAAAAGAGTGAAAAAGATGCAAAGGATATATCCTATTTAACAAAATCATTATTTAATAGAAAGAAATCACAAATAACAAAGAGAGAAATTAAAAAATAAATATATTTTGCTAGTGGGTTTTTTTTTGGTTAAATGACTGGTGGATGAATTTAGTATTATCATTCAAAAAAGAAAAAAAAGTACATTTATTTGAAATTAAATGTAACTTTTAGTAATCTATGGAGCCAAAACATGAACTTATTTCTTCTCCCAAGTCTTAATAAGTCAAGGACAATTTAGTAAGGATTTGGTGCGTCTTCCTAAATCATGACTACTTAAAATTAAAAATTAAAAAAAAAAAAAACACAAAATAACTTAAAATTAAGTCAAGGGTCCTTTTTCTTTATTTGGTCATCAAACAGTAGTATTGAAATGCCACCAGCCCAGTCTCAAGTTTACTTGGAACATATATAGAGGCCAAAATGATGGTTTCTTTTGGATTTATTAGCTTCATTTGATCACATAATCCTCAAAATCTCCAATACCACTAATAATCTTCAAATATTATCTTTTAGGATATCTTCATAGTAATGATTCAGACTCTGAAGAATAAATATTAGTCGGCACCATCCAACCTAAATAATAAAGTATCATTTTAGTTAGTGAAACTTAAACAAAAACAAACACTAGAAATTAAGCAACATAATACAAGGTAATGCTGAACCTGAATCTTGGACATGACGTCCAGGAGAATTAGTTGGGACTTGTGATGAAGAAGCTTCCAAATCATGACTAGTCAATTGTCCCTTCAAAG